AAAACACATGTTCATAGAGCACAAATCCAGCAGAGAGAACTCACCTGATTCTAGATGCTTTGAGAGATCAGCAGGCACACAGGCCCTTCAGTGCTCCTAGCGGGTGGCTGGAGGTCTACTTCAGATCCCACTTCTGACACCAAACTGTTAAAACAAAAACTTTGGACAAATTAAATTTAAGAGTTTGTGTGTGTGTGTGTGTGTGTGTGTGTGACAGAGTCTCACTCTGTTGTGCAGTCTCGAGTGTAGTGGCGCAATCTCGGTTCACTACAACCTCCACCACCCAGATACCAGTGATTCTCCTGCCTCAGCCTCCCGAGTAGCTGGGATTACAGGCGCCACGACACCAGGCTAACTTTTGTGTTTTTAATGGAGACGAGGTTTTGCCATGTTGGCCAGGCTAGTCTTGAACTCCTGATCACAAGTGATCCACCCACCTTGGCCTCCCAAAGTGCTGGGATTACAGGCATGAGCCACTGCATCCAGCCAACAGAGTTTAACTGAGCAAAACACAACTCCACAATTCATGAGTTGGGCAGCACTCAGAACCAGTGAGGGAGGTTTGAGAGCTCCACTCTGTAATGTGGGCAGGGAGTTTTTATAGACAGAACACAGAAGTGAGATACAAAAAAAAAAAAAATCACAATTAGTTTGATTTTGTTACAGCTTGAGGTGCTTGCCTTATATGGACATGAGCAGATCAGTTGGCAGCCTGTGATTGGCTGAGACCTAGCTATTTGTTCCAAAATATACTCCTAAGTTAGGCTTTCAGTTTGTTTCTGTGGTACATTAGGTTGCAGTTTGTTGTTACCTAGAAACTCAAGGCGCAGAGGCAGCCTGTTAATTGAGTTAATTTAACAGTTCAAATAAATACTTACACACCAGTGTTTATAACAGCGCTATTCACAGAGTTAGTTTGAAAGCAATCTAAATGCCTTCTTTGTACAGCCTAGACATTTCTCTTGGCCGCAAGGAAGAGTGAGGCCCTCACACATGCTGCAATGTGGATGAACCTTGAAAACATGCTCAGTGAATGAAGCCAGACAGAAAAGGCATTAACCCAGAAACAAATATTGCATTTCCTTGATACGGAATATCCACAACAGGCAAATCCATTCATTGAGGCAGAGAAGAGACTGGTGGTTGCCAGGGCATGGGAGGAGTGTGGAACAGGTCGTGACTGCTTAATGGATGGGAGTTTTATTTTGGGGGTGGGGAAAGTGTTTGGGGATGAAATAGAGGTGGTGGTGGTTGCACAATATTGTGAATGTCACTGAATTGTTTACTTTAAAATAGTTAATCACATGCTATGCTGATTTTATCACAATAAACCATTTTAAAGTTATTTTGTGAAAAACTGTGATGCTTGGGATTTGCTTCAAAATAATGTGGGTGGGGTAGAGGTTCGAAAAGTAAAAAAAAAAAAAAAAAAAAAAAAAAA